CGCCACTAAACATCTCCCTCTGCGCTCTCTCCCCCTTCCCACCCCACCCCCCCTCCCGCGCAACAGTCCTCCACACCCCACCGCACGACCCAACATCGCGCCTCCACCCGTTCTGCCTCAGCGTCCTTGACCACTTCAAATCCGCCGGCTACATCCTCTCCGAAGCGGCAGACCGCGAGCTAACCCTCCACGCCACACTGATCAACACCGTGTACGTCAAGAAGCGCCGCGATGGCGAAAAGAAGAGGATGGGAAAAGTCACCTTTGACGCCACACCCGTCTTGCGAGTATTCAACGAACGAGGAGGGGATACGGCGTCTCAGGGCACAAGTAGCGGAGGCACTGGTGGTGGTGGTGGTGGTGGTGGTGGCGGCGGCGCATTCACATTTGCCTCCTCGATTCCAATCAATCGTGTACAGATCTGCGAGATGGGAGCGAAGAAACTGGATGCGGAGAACGATCCAGAGGGGCTGGGGGAGCGATACGTCGTGGTAGCGGAGAAGAAGATCTTAGCTGGCATCGAGTGAGGATGACTAGTTGATAGCACTATGAGAGAGAAGGAAAGGCGGATTGATGATCATGCTCATGCTCATGCTCATGCTCATGGCCAGAGAGGCGATGCGTGATGTGTCAGGAACACCCGGAGATCTTGGAGTCCCGTTCAAAAGTGACACGAACTCGAAAGAGTCTGCCTGTTAGCAATTCTTGAACCACACTGTCCCTGGCCCCGTACCAGTCAGACACGAGGAACAAAGTTCCTTTCCGTGCTCAAGACCAATAGGATACGGATGTGCGAGTTGATGGCCAGGTTGTAACAAGTGGCCCGTGGCATGAACGAGCCAGACCACGCTTCTGAAGATACCAGATCCATCAATGAAGTTAGTGCAGAGAGAACCGACCATGTGATATGATGCAGACCCAGGAGGGGGGAATAACAACAAGACACAAGGAAGGAATCGTTTGATAGAAGTGATTAATGCTGTGCTGATGAGGCTAAGGGCTAATCTCTGTTGCGCTCATCTTCCTACTCCCTGGCCTACTGCCACTGCTCACCTCTTATCTCCCTCTTCATCAGCTCATAAAGCTATCTGCATCTGGCATGTGCGAGCAAGTAGAGGGCAAAGCAGAAACAAGGAAAACTCTATCGTACAAGAATGGTTGATAACTCCGAATGGAAAGGGTTCAAGGTGTCTGCACACCTCTTATGGCGGCTTTCAATGGCCTGAAACCTCAAAGAACTTTTCACTTGGTGATATTGGCCAGCCTGGGCCTGCTGGGGAGGAATACCGGTGCAAGTGTGCTGAATGTGATCAATAGTGGGGAAATTGGTGGTCGTGGGTCGCGTAATAGCTGAGAGCTACTGGTCGCTGTCTCACCCAGAAGAACGTCGGGTCCTTCCGAGTTATGCACCAACAGAGGGCGTTGCCTAGGTTTGAACAGCTTCCGGCTGGCCTTCGTTCCCAGAGACTTCTTCACCATTGGGACCGGCATTGCCTTCGCCGCGATTCTCCATGTAATCCTTGTAGACGCTAAGGGCCTCGTTGACTTTGGCACGAAGAGCTTCATCATTGTCGACCCTAGAAAAATCAGTAAGACAAAATCCTTCGTCAACAAGAAATGCACTTACAAGCCAAGCAACTCTTCACTCTCCATCTCCAGGAGCATCCCAGTGATTTTGCCAGCGAGCTCAGGTTGCTGTGCGGCAATCTTCGGATAGATTGCTTCTCCAATCAGCTGCTTCTGCGCGTCGGGTGGTGCTGCGCTCAAGCTCCGAACGAGAGGACTTTGACCATCTTGAGGCATGACCGCAGCCATCTGTCCCATCATCTGGCCCCGTCCACCTGGCCCCATACGTCCACCTTGACCCTGCATGCTCGGCAAACCACCACGAGGCCCACCTGGAGCATAGCCCTGACCAGCCCGCAGGCCCGGAATATTGGCCATGGTTGGTGGGATACCTTGCATGCCTGCCATCTGACCACGGTTTCCACCACGTCCTAAAGATTGTGTAGCAAGTGCTTGAGGGTAACCCATGCCGTTGAGCATAGGAGGATTAGCTTGCATGAATGGCATTTGACCAGGGACCGCGAAGTTTGCCGGAATTTGTTGACCTTGAGGCATGCCTCGGCCTTGCTGGGCAAAGCCAGCAGGATATTGACCTGGGCGGCCTGCAGGCATTCCGGGAATCACCATGCCTGGCTGAGCGAAGGGCATGGCACCGCGCGGCGCATTGGTCGGCAGGTACCCAGGCTGCTGCCCTGGCCCGTAGAAGACTGGGTTCTGTATGAAGCCTTGAGGCATGCCAGCCATGCCAGCTGCTTGTTGTTGTCGAAGAGTAGCCCGAGCCTGCATACTCTGCTCAAGCTGGTTCTTGCGAACATCTTTGCGTTGTGCAAGAGCTACGTAGAGCGGTTTGCCATTGACCATCTTCTGGTTCATCTCGGTGACAGCTTTGGTGGCCTCATCGGGATTGCTGAAGCACACGAAGCCAAACCCTTTGCTCTTTCCGAAAGTCCTCTGGGCAGCCTTTTTGCTCTCTTTGCTATCAGTGGATTCTTTGGCCGCCCCCTCAGCCTTGTTATCCTCGGTCTCATCGTCGGCTTTCTTCTCATCCTCACCTTCCTCGGTTTTCACCTCCTTTTTGTTTTCCTTGTCCTTGTCCTTGTCCGAATCTGGCGAAGATGGTCGGTCTAATGTTTCCCGCATCACTTTCGACGAAGTAATGGTGCCGTATGGAGCGAACAGATCCCTAAGCTTATCATCATCGACATCGTCAGTCAGATTCTTGACGTAAAGGTTGACGCCCTGGTATTTCGAGGCCTTTTCGACTCGAGCCGCCTCATATTGCTTACGCAACTCTTCTTCACGTTCATGCTTCTTCTGTGCACGTCCAACGTAGAGGCTCTGACCATGGAAGTCCTTGTCGTTGAGTTCCTCCACTGCCTTTGCGGCGTGCTCATGATCGATGTAGTTGACGAAGCCAAATCCGCGGCTCTTGCCAGTATCAGGCTCACGTGTGATAGCGGCAGAAGTCACATCACCAAATTTCTCGAAGAGTTGAGTGAATTCGTCATCTGTTACCTCGGCATCGATGTTCTTCACGTACAGATTGGTGAAGTTGGCCTTCATTTCTTCGTATTTGCTCTGACGGTCCTTCTTCGCAATGTGATGACCCACAAAGACTTTCTTGTCGCAAAGCAACATACCATTCACACCTTGGATGGCGCGACTTGCAGAATCCCCGGTCTCAAAATGAATGAAGCCATAGCCTCGGGAGTTGCCAAACTCGTCCTGCGCGACCTTGCAGCTGAGGATGTTTCCAAATTGGTTGAAAGTGTCATGAAGAGCTTTGTTGTCAATCGCAGGATCCAGATTCTTGATGAAGACGTTGCCTTGTCCGGTTTTGCGAAGGGCAGGATCCCGCTGGGACCACATGATACGGCAAGGACGACCTTTGATAACAGTGTAGTTCAATTCTTCCAGCGCTTTTTCACCGTCAGATGTGTTGTTGTAGTTAACATAGGCATAGCCCAACGAGCGACGAGTGATTGCATCACGGCAAACGCGGATCGAAGCTACTTGGCCGATGGTAGAAAATAGTTCAAAGAGCATGGCTTCGGTCACAGCAGGGTCCAGTTCTCCCACGTAAAGAGAGGCAGAGTGTGGTTGCGCCGAGCTCGGGGCTGCAGAATTTGGGGTTTGGAGGTCTGCATCTCCAGAGCTTTCACCTGAACCTACGTTGGTATTGATGGCAGTGGGACCGTTCGTGGTAGGAACATCGGTGGATGTGGTTTGGGGTTCAGCCGGAGCAGACGTTGCAACTTCTGGTGTAGACATCTCGGGGATTCTGATTCTCTTGTGGTGAGCCTCTGAAGTCAGATATGAAAGCAACCAGAAAAGTTCTGAGCTGCCAGCTTGAGACAAAGGCTGACCTGCTAAAGATGGTGCGGACGTGGAGAGTCAAGGTGAGTTAATGGATGAAATCTCGAAGAGATCAAGGAGGAGTGAATATTCGTAGGCCTAATAAGCTGTGCGACAGTGATGCTGAAGTGCACAAAAGCTTATTCACCATCACCAATTAGTCAAGGTCATTCAAAGATGAGGTTGAAGAGCGACATGAGCAAGAACAAGAACGTCCACTTACGGATCAGGTTACAAGTTTTCTTGCTTTTCAAGTTTTTTTGCGTGGTCACGAATATTTTCGATAGGGTATAGGCAAGACTGAGGGCAAGGCAACAGACACGTTGATGACTGAAGACGTCGCGAAATGGGTGTTGAGGTTGGCAAACGAACAAGGTCAACTTTTTGGCAGTAGCGACCTAACAAAAAAAAGCTGTCTCAGATCACCGCACCTGCCGCACAAAGCGTACTTTGCTAAGCTACAAATGGCCTTAGCTTGCCAAGCACCATATCCAAGACAGTAGCCTTATCACGTGACACTCTCACAAATCCTTTACGTATTAAAAGGGAGAAGGCGATGGGATGGTGCATGCCATGGTTACTCATCCCTACTAAAAAGACTATTGGTAACGCCGGTGGAGGACTTCCTTAGAGTTAGAAGCGCCATACGAAGGGCATTCATCCTTGTCTCCTTCGTCCTTCGAATAGCACCGCCCAGCTTGTTACCACAGCAAGTCCAAATCATATCCAAGGCCAGTCAATAGGTCTCGAGTTTAGCAGCATGGTACCCAAGGATAGTAGGGACCCCACCTTGCTCCAAGACTCCGCGCTCTGTGAATTGCCTCGCATGTCGATCAATCAATTTTGGCCGAGGTGAGCCTGTTTGGCCGCTGAAGGTTGTTGGAGAGCCGAATGTTGGTCTTCTTGAATTTCGCATGTTTCCGTAGTTTCTTGCGAGCAACCATGACCGGAATTGAGGACTTTGTAACAAGGTAGTTCGAGAAGGAACCAAGGAGCACACCCTTCAGAGCGCTACGACCTCTTGAACCGAGAATTACAAGCGTAGGCTCAAGACCATCAATCTAGAAGATCGTCAGTATCTCGACACAGAGACGAGAATAACAGATGCGGGAGAACTTACCGCCTCGGTGATCATATGCTTGGGACTCTTGCAATGTATGACCTCAATTGCGACCCGGACCTGCAGTTTGGTTTTTCGTAACAGCCTGACGCATGTAGACGAGATGTCTTCAATGGCTCTCTGCCTTTCTATCTCGGCTTTGGAAAGCATGCGGGAGTCCACTGAGCCCGGGCGACTATCAGTGGATGTCGCCGGCAGGTAGCCTGCAGGAGTGAGCAAAGATGGCGCCTCAGCGCTTTGATTCATCTTCTCGGTTTGGGAGGTCATAGCGTCTACGGTGTCTTGTGCAGCTTTTGCCCCTTCTCCAATCTGCACACTGCCACTGGCGTCAGCGTCAATGCTTTTCCCAGTGCCTGTCTCTTCGTCCACCGCATAAATCGCTAGCAGCGTGTCCCCGTCTCTCAAAATCGTTCCGATAGTCCATTCGAGGGCGTAGACGGCCTCGTCGCTTAGGTCAGTGGCAACAAGATACAAGCGCGATCGCCGGAGGCCCTCTTCTGCATCCTCCTGCATGGTCGAAAAGTCTCCTCGCAGAATAGTTCGTATCACCCGATTAGGGACCGATGTGTCGATATGTGACATGTTGATACTCAGCTTTTGAGCACGTCTGATGTCTGAAATGTCCGCGTCTGAGGAATTTGCCGAGTTCATACCGGACGCGGTGTAGTCGTAGCTGGTGTTGGGATGGACTCCCCCTTTCTTTGGCACCAGTCTTTCACCTCCAGGACCAATTACTGAGACGGCAGGCTCGGACGGCCTCAGTTTTGCTTTGGACTGGGCCATGCCTGGAGAAGAGGTTTAGTTGTGAGCACGTTCCAGAACAACAACTGAACATACGTTCTTCTTCTGCTGCTGCAAGAGCGCTTTTGGCCTGACTTGTAGACTCGTTCTGGCCATATAGTGAAGCATATGGATCATCTTCGCTTTCGTCTGAATCTACGTTCGAGACGTCAGACCCTTTATCGATCCTTTTCCGGCCTCTACCTCTCTTTCGGTTGGGAGTAGATTCGTCCTCATCCTCTTCTGAACTCTTTACCTCTTCTTCATCGTCACTGCTCTCAATTGCTCGTTCATCCGCACCCTCTCCGCCAGGTCTGTCCTCCTCCAGCCGAATATCATTGCTAGAATCGGCGCTACCACGTCTACCATTTTCGGCATTGTCTTTAGAAACAAAATCTGGACCCTTTCCCTTTGGCTTGAGGTTCGAGTCAGAGGCCTTTTCGGTAGCACTGTCAATGTCGTTGAAGTCGCTTGAGTCTGTCATGATATGCATTGGACTACTTCTGTTGTTGTTGAGAAGGCCTATGCCGGGCGATGATGATCGATGTAGTCGAGACGAAGGAGACCTCGATTTCGCACCGATACCTACTGTAGAGTTGTGCCTACCTGAACCGCGAGTTTTTGAAGAGATCTGAAAATCTTTGGGAGCCCCACCGAATATAGCAGCCATGGCCTCTGCAGACGCGCTCTGCTTCGTTGCCTTATTTCCTAAAGTTGATTGCGCGGCGTCTCCATTTCCGGCTGCGAAAGGACTTGAACGACGTTCTCTCGATGATGACGGGGTTGAGGTGTTCGAAGGTATATCAAGCATATTCCGTACGGCTAAAAAGGAGTCTTTCAGACCTCGCCTGCTGGCAGAAGAACTATCGGTGTCTGCTGTTTCGCGCCGCTCATCTTCAAGTACATCCACGAGAGACATCGTTTTTCATCAATGGAAGCCCAGTTCCAGCCCTTCTGTGAGTGGTAGAGAAGCGGTGCGACCACTGAAGGCTGTGATTCGTATATTGGCCTTGTACTAGAATGCACACGAATCTGCATACAATCTACAGGTTTCGAGTGCTGTGCAACCACGGGGAACGTGCTGGTTTTGAAGCATGGCTACGACTGCATGAATAGATAATGGTTTACTCCGTACCTTGGCGTTATTAGGCCTAAAGCTTGAGGTTCGCGTTGATCTCCCATGCGCTGGCGCTTGAAGCTTGCCAGTCCCTTGCGGCCACATGTGTCATAACTAACTAGTTAGTAGGCGAGGACAGGGGGCCTCCGGGCCTGGTCACCTCATAGTGCCTTGGGCATGAACCGAGGCCACTCCCTACCACTGCAGGCTACCACCAAGCAACATCTTATCTGCTACCACAGTATTCAGCCTCTGTTATCATTAGATCACAGAGTGCATCTAGTCTTCGTATGGTCAGCTGGACATGTCAGGCCGGGCAAGGCTGCCAGCCTGATCACACTTATCTTGACGTCAAGCGACGTGCTTCAATCGTCATTAGTCTAACTAAAACCATCATACCTGGTATGTCCTCGTTTGGACCTCTTGATCCTGCATGACACACCTTCATGACGCTATTTGCTGAGTAAAGAGCTTATGCCTTTCAAAACTTCCTGTTCGCAAACGGCATCTGCGGTGATTTGTCCTCAAGTAGCTCTTTTCCCCCACTTTCTTCTTCATGTACTCGTGGTCTTTCACTGATCTATTCCCTCTTCTGCTATGGCTTCCTCATTCCATGGATGGAAATTCTCGCTGTCGTGCTTCGTTCTTTCATTATCTATTTTCGCCGCTGCCCAAGAAAACTGCAATACACAAGCAAATCCCTCCTGCGCAGGCAATGCTAGATTCGCCAGTATCTGCTGTTCGAGCCCCAACGTTTGTTACTTCCAGGATAGACTTGGGACTCCTGGATGTTGTCCTGCCGGACAGACCTGCGGTAATCATGGCCAATATAGTCCACGGCCTGTTGCCACTATTGCTCCAAATAGCGCTGTCTCCCTTGCCTCCGGTCTAGGCCACATCACGGCGAGCATGAGCATATTTACCACCAACAGTATCTCATTGCCAGCACCCGCAGCAGCATTTAGCACTGTTGGAGGCCTCCTAGTGGGAGCGGCTCGACCAATTGCACAAGCAAAGGAAGCAACTCCCCTTCTCCTGCCTGTCATGTTGGTTGCGTGGAATATGTTTTAGGCAAAATTACTTGGTTGTGGAAATAGCACGTCCTGGAAAATAACCAGTGATACAAGAAACTACCCCAATGTGCATCAATCTCGAGATCTACTGGATTTAACTTCCAATTTCACACTACGCCATGTTCTTCGCGGCCTTTACCTCCGACTTTGGCACGTTCATGAAAGCTGGTGTTATCACATTATTGAGATTTCGCCTGGTGGGTGCAGACAAGTCAGTGCACTTTGTTCATCTTCAATATCTGCAGATGATAAAGGTAGTTACGCCGGCATGCTTCTCATTCCTCGTTCACTGGACGCAGCTCAACATACACCAGAGCCACCTTTCCTTGTAATGGAATCAAGGAAGCGTGTTGAAAAAGGCGTACAATTTTGAGACCATGCTCTGGCAGCTGGTCATCACAAATGTCCTCTACTTCTATGATATTGCCAATCTCGTGCTGCAAATTTTACGATCGAGGCAGTTGTCTGTTCTCTGCCACTGCCTATGACAACATATCTCATCTTCCAGTTCACAATTGTAGGTGTGCCTTCTCTCTTCACTTTGGGGAAAGAGTCATTCGGTCTCGAAGAAGGCGGCCGCGAGTCCATACCATTGACACAAAACTGCTTACGACGTCCGGTAACCGCAATATGATCCTCGAATTCGGGCATTATCTGTCCATAATACAGCTTTTGGATAAAGACGGCCAGCGAGAGCAGCTGATCAGCAGCTAACGTTAGCTCTTCGACGCGCTCGGAGCAACACTGAAGTCTTGCATCAAAAATGCTTCTAGTCAATAATCTCAGGATTCTGTCGGCGTACCACCCGGAGTGGTTTTCACCTCTGCATTCTCGATTAAGAAACCGGCGAAGCTGTCTGGAGGATTTTGTCAGGTACAGGAAGATCTTCCAATGAAACTCGTCCTTCAAGTCATATGCAGTAGCTCATCTTCCGAACATGCAAAAGTAGAGAAGGCCACCATAGAAGCAAGAGGTAGGGAGGCTAGATGCGACCTCTTTACTTCATGCTTTGAGGTACAGCATATGCGCAAGCTACTGGCGAGGTCAGCCGCCCGATGTTCCAATACAAGCACGCGGCTGAAGGATTGTTCCTAAGCTACCGACCACTCACCAATACATCTCGTCCCCACTTATAGAAAGCTCTAAGGATGCTCCGGTTGATGAAGCTACACTACTAAAACCTATCTCTTATTGTTCCCCCGTTCCTTCTTCTATACCTGCACCGCAATGTGTCTGCTAACACTTATATCAATTCTACTATCACGATCATCGTCATGAACGCACATCTAAGATCAGCGCTAATAACAGGCACGTCTGCCGGCTCAATTGGATCGGCCCTAGCCACTTCATGTGCAAGTCATGGCTTCCTTGTTTGTGCAGTAGCCCGCAACCTCTCCAAGAATGAGCTGTCCCTCGTCAACCTTTCCAACATCAATCCCGTTTAATTGAGGTAACCTCCCAAGGATCAATCCACAGAGCCTACAAGTTTATCCTTGCGAGAACGAGTGGCAGACTCCACTACCTCGCTAAAAATGCCGGCATCGGCTACCTGGCGCCACTGGTGAACTTCGACAGGGAGAAGGGCATGCGGGTTTAGAATGTCAACTTCTGGGGAATCCTGAATGTTACGAAGGCTTTCATACCATTGCTGGTGACAGCCAAGGGCCCAGTGGTAAACACTAGCTCTGTCGGCGCAATCCTGCATACGCTGTGGATTGGTAAATCAGTCGCTTAACCCATGTTCCTTCATGCCATTGCTACCATGAGTTCAGATTCAATGCTGTAGGTAAGGTTCGGTAGTATTAATCATCTCGCCTATTGACAGGGATCTACAGCGCCTCAAAAGCCGGCTTGACTTGCGCTTCCGAAACTCTTCGTCTAGAGCTTCAGCCACTCGGCGTCGATGTTGTCACTGCTATGGTCGGATGCATCAACACCGAATTCTGCGCCAAAGATATCCCATCAATACTTCCCTCCGACAGCTTCTACAGATCAATTGAGCGGTATATCGAGGACAGTGCAGCGGGCAAGCCTTCACCAACAGGGATGGACGTAAATGTATTTGCGGAGTAGTTGGTACAGGACGTGTTGAAGGGCAAAAAGGGCTGACAAGGTGGATGAGTACGTAAGCACCACGGTGGTTGCTAGATAAGATGGTGGCGAGTTAAAGGGGGTCAGATGAGCTGAAGTGAGCATGTGCCGGTACGAAGGCATGTAGAGGAAACAATAAGGAGGAAGCCATTTCATGAGCGTCCGTTATTATAGGTTCATATGAGTTTCTATCACCTAGGCAAGCCCAGACAGTCCCAAGGCCCATTAGACATTGCCATAGGCTGATGATTTGGTGAATCGGGTCTGTGGATTGCAGCCTTGCCGTATTCTCGATATCGATCAGTGTAAGTCGGATAGCCGTGTGTAAGTAGGTGACAACGAAGTCACACGCAGAGCTATGATACGTACTGCTAAGCTAGAGTCACAAGTTATCTTCCATCATCCGAATCATGGCTGTCTCTATCACTTCACCCATAACAAATGCCACGGAATAGAAAGGGTAGGACTGTTATAAGTCAACCTCAAGATGTGCTTGTCAGTTTGAAAAGCTTGTTACAGAATTACAACCCAGTAGCCGTTGTGTGAGAGAGGTCTCGCAACACTTTTCCTGCCTTTTCTCCAATGTAGGACTTCATTTCTTCAAGTATAATCTAAGCAGGCAGTGGTCTACCTGATTTCTCTGGCTTCGATAGGTTTTCATGGATAGAGAGTACTGCCAGGAGTACGGAGGGAAAACCCTCACGTATGATCCCTTCTTCCGAGTCGTCTACAGCAAAGCCACGGTAGTACGGGTCAACAAGTCATTGCCAAGTCGTGGTATCTGCCTCACCTCATTCGTCTAGTATTAGCGGTTTAGTTGCCATCAAAGTAACAATATCGATCTGCTAATCTCGAGAAGATCTTGTTGACTAGATAGTGAGTAGTGTCAACGTCCAGCGTACTCCAACACGCTGAAAGATTGTGGATTCTCTGGATGTGCGGATTAAAGCAGAGATAGCAAAAATCGGCAACGGTTAGTTGATTGGTGTTTGGAGATTCTATCGGCTGAAGGTGAGATTCTCTACAAGGCTTGATAGGAAGCATATGATGTAGCGACGCGATCGTTGGACTGAAGTTGGTTGGTGGCACCTGCTTAGCATGCGAGCAGGTGGGGGCTGTTTCTTTTGTCGTCACTGCCTGCCAGGTTTAGAGTCCGCAGACACAGCCCAGAAAGCACAATCATTAAAAGCCCTACAAGCACCTTACCTAACCCGATCGATAAGCTAAGGCTGGTAGTGAACACCAAATGAGTCGCTTCAATGCTACCTGAGTCACGCGCCGGAGTTTGTCTAGAAATGAGTAACATTAAGGGTGAAGCTGGAGGACCCTTTGACGAGGTAAACTGGTTGAACGGCCCAAAAGGGCTTAGCCCCACGTTTTACGTAGTAATCTGCCGCCTCGCCAGTCCAAAAATTTGCTCTCTTCCCTTCAGACGACAAACCTCACCCACCACCACAATCAAAGAGGTCTCTTCAAATAAAGAAGAGACACCGCAGAAACACACAATATCCTTGTGTTGTTTTCTGCTCTTTAGTACTTGTCTCAGATCGAAGTTTCACTTCACTCCTTCGCCCTGCGCAAGAAGTGTTTGTGCGGCTGAAATTTGCCTGGCTTTCCCAGCACCTATTTCTCTGCGACACTGCGACATCCGTTTACTCGAGATCTGCCGCCTGCCAGTTGAAAAAAACACAGAACTTCCATTCATTCAATTTCCTGCTGGTTCGGGCTTGATTTTTAGAGACCAACGTTGCAACTCTCCACTCAGCTTACACTACTACCCATACGACCGACCATAACCACGTTCACCAAATTCCCGCCTCAGAAACTCCTCTAATGACATCCACTCCTCAACAAGCAAACACACCTGTTCAAACAAGCATATCTGGAGCGCAGTCAGCTTCGCGGAAGCAGTCTCCTTCAGCTCCCCAAGGTCCGATCTCCACTGCACCAGCTATTGGTCGATCTTCCTACGCTGCTGCAACCAAAAACTCCATTCTACCTGATGCATCCGGGTCATCAAATATGGCGACAGCAATCGAAGGCTCTATGCCTTCACAACATGGTACTGGAGAAGGCCTTCCATCTGTCAATGGTAACATTCCATCCATAGCCGCAATCTCTTCACTTGAAGCATCATCTGGCATGAATGGCAACAATAGCCTCTCAACTAGCACAGTTTCTGACCACAACCGAAAACCTTCTTTCACGATTACACCGAGTGGCATCAACGGAGGTCCACCGGGCGGTCAATCAAATAAAACAATCAATATTCAGTTTGGATCCGCGAATGTAGGAGGATCACCAGCTTCTGGTGCTTCTCCAGCCCTAACAAACAGTTCTCCTGGGAATCTTGGAGTGTCCGGAGCCGTAAATCCCAGACTCATCTCACCCCAAGTGTCACCTTCACCCATCCCTCAGCCCTCTATTAGTGGAGGTCGACCACCTTCTAGCTTGCAAAATCAGGGTAATAGCCTGGTGTTTGGTCAATCTGGTCCGGAAGGGAATGACCCAAATGTACATTCTTCCTAGCAAAAGGGTTTGGATGTTATACTGACATAATCGCAGCGCCAAATACGTGGAATGGCACCAAATTCGTTTGCGCCCGAGGGTTCCCACCCCCCCAACGTACGACGCGAATCATCGCAATCGTCCCATGGCGATATGAGCAATCACGGTATCCCAGGTGGGCCTGGACGAAGCAGCTTTCCCATGCAAGCGAGTCGTGGTGGACGCAGTAGCTTCCAAGGCCAGCCATACTCCCAACCGATGCCGTACTCACCTCAGCAGAGTTTCCGCGGACAACCGAATCAGCGAAGCATGCCCCATATGCCGTCATTTCAAGGGCGCTCCCAGCCATACACGAACTCTCCAAATATGGCTACTCGCAGCCCAGCTATGATGAATGTCAATCCGGCGACGCCCCAAATGCCGCACATGCAGATGGTCCCTGGCATGCCCGGCCAGCAGTATGGAAATCAAGGATATCAGGGATTCCCACAAGTAAAGCGCCACTTTTCTTCTTCCAATCCTCCTTCTACTAAAGGCAAGACTGGTAAAAGCAGAGGTCGCGGCAAAGGAGCTTCGAATTTCAACAATTCGAAGCGTGAGTGGGACCGCCCGGCCGCTCACCGGAACGATCCCAAGCCGCCTGTGCCAGACCCAGCTTTCCTGGTCCCTCCCCAACAGCTTCCATTTGATCTCTCGCCCCAAAGTGGCAATTTTGAAAAGGTTCTGACAGCCAAAAAGCAGGGTCATTATGTACAGCTTCAGCCCGACCCGAGTTTGCAAGCTATGTACCACCAGCATTGGATGCAGCAAAATCCGCAGATGCAAGGTTACCCTCCACCTACGTCCCCTCGTCCGAACTATGTACCAGGACCCGGTCCGCAGTTCATGCAGACACAATACAGCAATCAGGGTCAACATCCACAGCAGGCTCAGCCCATGTCGCGAAGCCCCTCCCAAGTCTCTGCAGCCGAGCGTCCAGCATCGAGCCTAGGACAGCCGCATACTCCTGCTATACCAGCTGTATCCGGTCATTCTCATACCGCTAGCCGTGCGACTAGCAGCCCGGTCCCGAAGGCAAACTTCATTGTACCGCCGAAGAAGAGTGCCGCTATCGCCATCAAGAATGAGGACGGCGTTGTGCAGCCGGTCACCAAGCCACCCAGGCGGCTACCCCTCCCGTCCCCGAATCAAGAAGCCGATCTGTGAGCACTGTAGACGCTTCGCACGCCAGAACAGACAGTGTAAACGAAAAAAGCGATGAAGAGAAAAAGAAAGCAATGCAAGATGCTGTGGCAAAGAAGATTGCTGAAGATGCCAAACTCCAACAGGACAAAGAAGATGCTGAGAAGAAGGCCTTGAAGGAGAAAGAGGAGGCCGAAGCTAGCGGGAAAGAAGCTGCTCAGCCAGAAGAAAAGGCCGAGACCCAAGCCGAATTCAGGGGCGAACAACCTGCCGCTGTAGCGACGGAGGCCGAAGTCACTACAGATTCGGATCGCCATGTCCCAGCAGCTGTGGAGCCAACAAACAATGAAGACGCAACAGAGCAGAAACCGGCTCCCCTTGAAGTGGAAGAGCCCGAAGAAGAAGACGATGAATTTGAGAAACTAGCTAAACAAATGGAAGCTGAAGAAGCCGCTCGCGAAGAAGAAGAAAGACAGAAAGAAGCTGTCTATCAGGCCAAAAAGCAGGCCGAACGAGAGGCTCAGAAGCAAAAGGAGGCCGAGGAAGAGGCTGCATACTATGCAAACATGAAACAAGCTGAGCGGGAGGCCGAAGAAGCTGAGGAAGCCCGTCAGCGCAAGAAGGCAGAGGTCACGGAAGGGGAAGATCCAAACAAAACCGTGGAGGCGTTAAAAGCGGAAGATGCTCCTAGTCCCTCATCACAGGACAGTCCAGCAATCCAGACGCCCGTTGAGAGCGGCGCTGCCACCCCTGTTTCAGATGTCTCAATGGGACCACCTAAGAGTATTGCAACTAACCGCAGGGACCGACCTGCGGCTCTTACGTTGGAAACGTCTAAACAGGTTGAGCCTCCACAGCCCAGTGCTGCTATGAAAGCTTTGCGATCCGCGCGATTCCTGGATGACCTTGCCGGCATCGAATATCCAAATGCGGTTGCTTCGCCCAACCCTGCATTAAATAAGAACGCGCCTGCTGACCGAAAGTTCAAATACAACAAAGAGTTTCTGTTGCAGTTTCAAAACGTTTTCAAGGAGAAACCATCTTTAGATTGGGATGTTAAGATTCGTGATACGATTGGTGACGGCGGTGACACGTCCGCCCGGCCTGGCTCAGCACGGACACCAGCCACCATGAGTGCCCGAAGCACGTCAAACCGTCCAAGTGTTGTGCAAGGCTTTAGCGGCATGGGCACGTTCAATGCTCCACCCAGGGCTGGCCCGGCGAATCTGCCTCCAGGGACAACATCGGCCGAACGATTTGCATTATCCAATCAAGGAATGGGTGGTCAACGTGCTGGTCCTATGCAGAACAATCCCTTTACTTTCGGTCGTCCTCCTGGTATGCCTCTAGTGGGACCTTCTATGAGTCGTAACAGTTCGTCCAACGCACTTGCTGGTCAGATCCCATCCTCCCCTCGAGTCGGTGGCTCCCAGCGTGGCAACACCAGAGTAGGAAGCAAACGCGACAAAATATCCAGTAAGAAAGTAGAAGAGGAGAACAAGAACATGCCCCTGACCGCCGCCATGGAAGTGAAGCCCATTCAAACATCAAGCTCTGGCTGGAAACCAAGAAGTATTGGACAGGCTGCAGGAGCTGGTCCAGCTCCTGATGGTCACATGCCTCCTGATGTCGTGCAACGCAGAGTCAAGGGTCTGCTCAACAAGATGACCCCAGAGAAATTCGAGCGCATAGCCGACCAGATCCTGGAAATTGCAGCTCAGTCAAAGAACGAAACTGATGGACGGACTCTTCGACAAGTCATCCAATTGACCTTCGAAAAAGCTACTGACGAGGCCCACTGGGCTACAACATATGCCTTATTCTGCGAGCGAATGTTGAAATTCATGAGTCCCGACATCAAGGATGAGAATATCAAGGACAAGCACGGCAATGTGGTGACTGGTGGTGCTCTATTTCGAAAATACCTCCTCAATCGCTGCCAGGAAGAATTCGAACGGGGTTGGAAGGTCAATATGCCTCCCAAGCCTGAGGGTCAAACTGAGGAGGCAGCCCTGTTGTCTGAAGAGTACTACATTGCTGCAGCCGCTAAACGACGTGGTCTGGGTCTTGTGAAATTCATTGGAGAGCTCTACAAGCTTGGCATGTTGACAGAACGTATCATGCACGAATGCATTAAGAAATTGCTGGAATTAGACGAAAACGGCCCTGATGAATCTGAAGTCGAGAGTTTGGTCAGTCTTCTCAACACAGTCGGTCTGAACCTGGAGCAGTCGGAACGTGGTCCAGCCTTGATGAACGTCTACTTCGAACGTATTGTATCAATCATGAATCACCCAGATCTGCCAAGTCGACTTAAGTTCAAACTCCTGGACGTCATTGACCTTCGAAAACATGGATGGCAGTCAAAGAATGACGACAAGGGCCCCAAGACTCTGGCAGAAATTCATGCAGACGTGCAGCGAAAACAACAGGAGGCCGAACTCGAACGTTTGCGACAACAGGCTAGCAATAGAGGTGGTGGTGCTGGTGGTGGTGGTCGCTTGCCCATGGGTCGTGGCGATGCTCGAAACTTCTCTGGTGGCCGCGGTATGCCTCCACCAGACTACACCTCGAACAATGTCGGCACCGATGATCTTCGACGTCTTGGTGCTAGAACCACGCGAAACTCGAGCAATCCCAACGGCCCAACTCTTGGTCCAAGCAACCTTTTCAGTAGTGGCCGGACCAATAGCGGCCGAAGAGGACTGGGACCTGGCTCACTTCTAGGCCGCGGCGAAGATAGCGGAACCAGCAGCCGAACTGGTACACCACCACAGCGGGAGAAGGATAAGAAGGAAGAGGGAGACAAGTCTAGCACAAATGCTTTCAGGTAAGTCGTGGTGAACTTGCTAAGGAAAGAACTTAATGCTGATCTGTCACAGCGCATTAGCCGCCCTCGAAGGAGAATCTGCCAACCAAGCCGCCTCGCCACCATCTGCTGCATCTTCCCCACCAACCACAAAGCTTCATCCTACCCTCGGACGACAACGATCGAAGTCGCCTGTCAAAGGCAATGAGTGATCACTGTTACTGTACGATACCTGTACAACACTCTTCGTTTCGTTCAAGGTCGATGACCCGTTTGTGGGGAGGTCAGGGAGGTGTAACATTGATACCCGGCCAAGCTTAGCCATTGTGCAAGAAGGCCACATGTAGCATTTCGAAGCGGCGGCTTTTCCTTCGGCTTACTAGACCGCTTGTGTTCTTGCGCGTCGTTGCTTCGACGGAGCAGGAGAATCATTTTCAGGCGTTGTGCCAAAAGATCGTGCTTCTAGTTTTCGAGCCTCAACCACTTTTGCATTTGTGCATTACATGGCAACCCATAAGAATTTCTAATACAACAGCAACCCCGGGGGATTTTTGAAGAGGAGATGGCTGAGTGGGAACGATCGGATCTGCGTGTCTTTTTCTTTCAAAGCAGTGCTGCCTCGAAGGGACAGGTAGACAACATTACTGCACGGCGTGGCAGTCCTTCATTCATGTATTTGCAGATGGGTTCAAGAGTTCAATCAAATGTTTACATCTATATTTCGTTCCTATTGTGATGATCATGACTGTGGTCTGGTTTTGAAGCCCAGCATGGGAAAAGGATGCACCAACCACTCCGCCAAAAGGACAGCGCTGATGGGTTTCGGACCACACTGAGATGATGTATCCTTCCTGACAAATATCGCGCAGCAATTTCGGCCTTGCCACTGTGTTTGAGCCATCTTGGATGACAATGGAAGTTCGGGAAGAGGCTCTAATCACCCTTTAGTCTTTGCGTCAACTGCACGAAATGAAGGGTGCCTTTGCAAGTTGCCCGATAGCTACCTGCTGTCAGCAGCGGACTAGGGGAATGGATGCATCCAGTCGTTGGTAGGGAGATCCATCGTCTTACTCCGCGCAATTTTAGGCTGTCAGCAGTCGAGGCAAGGGGTGTGTGGTAGAGAGATCAAAGCTTTACATGTAGGATTTCCAATCTCAAACTTATTTCACAGCAACGGTAGCTGCTGTCAATGCTCAGGAAGAGCGACGTTGGGACAGACTCAACTGGAATTGCAAGAAAACCTTGTGATTGGCCAACCTTACGACATGTACCGAGGCGCCTCCTCAACAGCCCTTTCCTGTACAGCCTCGTCAGCCAAACTTCACCTGCAAATTTTTCACTCAAGCTTGTTGGTGCGTCTTTCTCTCTACGATATGATATGGACCAACAACAGCGATGCCGGTAGGATTTGGATTCTCGGCTGGCGACTTCATAGCCGCCCTGAAGCTCGTCGGTACGGTCATCGACGCGCTTCGTGACAGCGGAGAAGCAGGTCTTGCGTATCGTGAACTCGTGCGGGAACTATACAGTCTCGAGACCGCTCTGCTACACGTCAAACGTCTGGATGGGGAAGAAATACCGCAAGCAGAAGTCATTTCTCTTCGCCTGGTTGCAGCTCAGTGTCAGTCAACGATTGATGACTTCTGGAAGAAGATTCAGAAGTATCAGCCACATCTCGGCACCAGTCATTCTATGGCGCCCATCAAGAGCGGATGGATGAAGATCAGATGGGCCGTCTGCAAGAACGATGATCTTACGAAGTTCAAAGCCAGTCTTGCTGGCCACACTGAAGCTATCAACATCCTACTCAATGCCATTGCCATGCGCGCTTCCCTTCTTCGGCACTTTTTGGTACAGTCCTGACTGCGAGTGGAGCAGATCGAAGATGACCCTTCGAGATCGAAGACAGGACCGGCAAAATTACACACTTGCTAGTATGATACAATCATCGTATTGTCAATGCATGCGAAAGCTTTGCAGCATCTCAGATGGTGTGGCAAGGTACTCTCGGCCTAAACAAAGTATTGTCGCTATCTAATAACGATCAGATCCTGGGCACAGGGCAAGCAATTGCTGGACATGACCGATAAAGTCATGTAAGCTGTCGATTTAGGACGAACTTCGCCGTAGCTGACTCCAGGTGAAGTCGCACCAACCTTGAGGTGTTCAAGATCGTGCTTCAGATTCAAGCAGTTGTCACGCAAATACCAGGTCAAATCCAAAGACAGCAGCCGGTATATCTAATTGACGCTCTAGGAAAGCACAGTCCTTTCCACCTTGAATTTATCCGGTCAGCTGAGGTTAGAAGCTCCTTTTCATTCACCGTAACCTTGCGGACACTGAGTATTGCAGGCTTTTAAATCCGTGCTCAAGGCCAACTTCAGAAACATCGGCCGTGCTTCTGCGAAGATCCATCGCGGCGAATTTGTGATCCAGGATTCTGCCTTGAAGACGGACATCGATCTCAACCAAGAATGGGAGCACTGTTTCTCGCCTGGACAGTGTGTGGACATGAGCATGATATACCATCGCACAATGTCACCTGAGAATGATTGTGTCTGCCCTGCATGTGGAAGCGAAGAACGAGATGGCGGTGTTGCCGAAGCCATCTGGTAGGTTTTTGCGTACGGCGGGAGTTCTAGCGCTCGAGGCTGACCTTAACTAGTCTGCAAAGCCATACGTGCGGTATAACATACAGCCGGAGGGAACAAGCCGTTATTGATCGGCCCATCTTGGCAGTCATGCCGGATCGAGCACAAGCAGTTGGAGCTGCGACCAATCTCGACCCACAGCATCTGGTGTCTGCTTCGCTAAATCTTCCGAAGAGAAAGAGACTTGACAACGGCTTCGAGAACGTTCGAGAATTTCGAAGAATTCGCATCTATACCTCGGCTTCGACTGAGGAATTTTCTATCCTGCTGACTACGAACATAAACGTGACGGCGTGGCGAAAGGGGGGAGGAAACACGAATCAAAATCGGGTATCTGGCCATTGTTATGTTACTAGGAATGAGCATGTTTTAGGCATCCCAGTAAGTGTGATCCAATATATCGGCCCTTGCTGATTCGTTTGAGGCACTGTTCCTAGAGGTGGTGGGGGAAACACGGATGACATTCTTTCGGTCAATATCCTTTAATGCTATGCTACGGACATTATCGCCTGCGAGAACTACAAGTACGTTTTCATAACTGCTTCAATCTGCTGGAAACTCCCATGTTCATCTCTGATTTTCGCTGACGCTCCTTTTCTAGATACGTTATCATACAAAGAGTCTGCTGACGTTGAAGTGGACCTCACATTTGACACGAACTGGGACTGCTGGAAGATAGGGTCAGCAAGAACATCACAATTCTGTCATTTCCTCTTTCGTGCTGACATCTCCCTACACTGAGCAGGTTGCTAGTTACTACGGGCTGCGCACAAGTATACGAGGATCCCTCCGGAATGGTGGTCTCCCCGAACGTGAATCGTGGTGTGTCTGCAACTCATTGGGAGTGCCACTGTTGCCATCAGGTGTTGACCATCCTCGGCTACGTCGAGTGTCCCTTTTGTCATCATCGAAAGTGCGGTGCTTGCTCAATATCTGTTGAATAGCTTGAGTATGGGTTATGATTGTGTGGTGAGTAGTAGATGAAGAAGCTAAGTCTACGTACAAGTTGGGATAAGATAAATAGCAAGTAGTGTGCCAAGCTAGCCAAGCGCTCCTTCTATGCCCCTTCTATGCTCCTGCAATGTAACAATATTAGTGCGCGAATATGATTAAGTGGTACACAATAGGAAGGCTTCTGATGAGTGTCCAACGTTAACTTTATTTTAATATTATTATATAGTATACTTTGCACCCTGCTCTACAACCCAAACCTACTTGGATCCATTCTAGTTAAGACTCGTCTTGACCAGCGTGCACTCCTAACACCCTTTCTCACCTATCACCCAAACTTTAAGTAATCAGTCCAGATCCGGCTTTCGTTTCACGCTAGAGTATCCCAGTAATTAGCGACAGATCCTGTCGGCGTCTGCGCTAATTGCGTGTGCGCCCCTACATATTCCTCGCGCTCCTCTAAACCTTCCCACAGCGACAGGTGTTCCAAGTCTGCATCCCTTTCGCTTTTTCATAACTCCCTACCTACGGCCAACGGATGACAATCTGACCGCTGGGTAGCAGCAGCAGCAGCTTGTCACCGGGATATCCAGAAACATGATGTATCTGGAGCGGAAAAGGTAAGTAGAGTCAAGGGCCCTCAAAGTCTTGGCACGGCACGAAGGATGGCTGCATGCGTCCTCCCCCTCCCGCAAGCCCTTCAGCTGGTGTTAAGGGACAGCAAGACTTGGTACACGATGCTTTTGCCAGGTTGACTTGATTCAGTTATCCGCCTTTCAAGACAGAACTATCTAACTACCTAGCAGTAGTTACTAGTCCTAAAACGGATCTAACACCAGTCATGATATCTGCCCTCCCTTCAATCGGAGCTGGAGCTATCCCAGCTCATACTAACAGTGTGTAGGGAAAGTGAAAACCGAAAGATTGAAAATGGAGAAAATCAGGCTTTGAGGCGGGCGGCTGCATTGACCAGGGCTCCACTCTAATTACCTGTCCCAAGACATTCCGCGCATGTGGGAACCTGAAAAATAAGGTGGACCCATTTGCTCGCATTTCTTGCAGGATTTGAGATTTGAATTCCATCAGTTCCTCCCCCATCAAACTCCTCAGCTCTAGCTAATTACTAGAAGACAAAATGTCAACAATATCAGAGTCTGCCGATACGATGGCACATCTTCCCTTGGACCAAAACGATGCCTCAAGCCATGTGGCATCAAGTGAGCAGAAGCAGGTTCAAAAGCCAAAGAAGGGCAGATCAACTCTAGTCGAGCCAGATGAGGACGTCACCCCCTCAGTGAAGGTTCAAAAGCAAAAACAGAGCCAATCAAGTCCAGTCGAGCCAGATGAGAATAGCACCCCGTCAGTGGAGGTTCAAAAGCCAAAACAGGGTGGATCAACTTTGGTCAAGCTAGATGAGAATGGCACTCTGGTGGAGGAAGATGAAGCAGGGCCCGAGTGGAGCGATAATTCGATGACCATCGATGACCAGAAGCGTCTTTCTCGGCCGATACGTAAGACCAGGTCCGCCACCATGGAAATCCTGCAACCTACAGCAGCTGCCGCGGAGAGGAGGAAATCCCGATCGCAATCTCATAGTCGAGCTAGATCAGTATACTCGGCCAATAAGAAGCAACAACAGGTGCAGCCGAAGCAGCGAGCGGTTCGGTCCAGCGTAGTCGACGAGGACGAGAAGGGGGGGCATGATGCAAATTCAATCTTGCTACAAGTCATTCGCTACCTCTACGACATCCTGGGCCGATCCCTCAACCTGGTCAAGGTGCCGCTCGCCATGCTGATAACCCTGCTAATCCTACTTGTGGTCTTGACCATGCTTTCTGCAACGATTACTGACCTGTTTTGCTCCATTCCCGGCTTAAGTCTGGTCTGCTGGTTCTCTGGCCCGCAAGTCGGCGCTTCTTGGAAATGCTACCTCCCAGGCTCCAGTCGATTTTTCCTAGAATGTCGACCACCGGGCGCGGCCCAAGGCACGCGGGAGGTCACCCGATTGCTGAATGTGCACGATGAGCTTAACAATATTCAAGAGACCATGGTCGGTCATCTCTCCCTACCTTTATTGATCAAACGCTCTGAGACTGTGATGCGAGAAGTCTCAATACGCGTGGAATTGAGCGATATACCATCTAGGTACTAACCAGTGTTTACTTTCCTATGATTTATCAGCTTTTGTTAACGAGTGTAATAGATCTGTGCTGGTGCCACTCTTTACCGACTTCTGGCAAGAAGCGCGTGAGAGAGGCCAAGACGTGGACAAATTCTTCTTACATATAGATCGCGCACACGATTTGGCTATGGGAGTCGTGGCGAGGACGGAGCGGCGTCTAGAACACATCCAATGGCTGGAAGAGCAAGAGCGCACTCAGCCCTTTATATACCGCGTGCTGTCCGTGCTTCAACCCGAGCCGCCTTCGCCGTTCGTCCTTGTGCGAGAAGAATACCTTGGACATCTTGACGATCTTAAACATCACGTGGATCAACTCATTCTTGAGAACAAAGTAGTATTAGAATGGTTGGAAGGTATCAAGGACAAACTTTTCGTAATGGGTGACCACATCACCAAGGATAACCGACAACTACACGATTCCCAGCTAAACCTGAAGACGGGTTTCTTTAATAAGGTCCGCCCGGACACGCGTGCGCTCCGGAAGATCCGGTCCGCGCTAGCCGCGTTAGATGAGGTGGATTCAGTGCGCAAGTACGGAGTTGCAGTGTTCGACGCGAGCCTCGTACGGTTACAGAGGATCAGTGCAGAGCTCGGTGATCTACAAGGACGTATTGTTGCGAAAGAGGAGGCGGTCGAGGAAGCCAAGGAGATTGCCTCGCTCGAGCTCCAGATATCCATGGTCAGAAAAAGCTTGAACCGAATGCAGGAGCATAAAGTAAAGACAAAGAAGGTGAAGGAGAAGTTTCGGGAAGAGTTGCAAAAGCAACTCGACGAAATCTTCAGTACGTAAGCCTGCCGGTGATTCGTCCCGATTCCACACTAACTCAGATCAGATAAAGTGCCAGAAAAAATTCACAGACTCGCGACAGACCCACTTTAACCCTAGTGAAACAGGAAATGTATTGTTGTTGCAAACGTCAGACTTGCAACAAGGGTGAAGGGGACTTTTTCATTGGCTTTTTGTTCTTGGGCGGAGATTGTACCTATCATGCGAGACTCCGCCGCATAGCCAAATCGATGCGAATGCGAGAACCCGTATATTGTAGGCTGGAAATTGGTTTCAATTTTACCAACACAAACATTTGTGGAATTCTGGAATTGTAATCATTTCCAAGCTGTGGTATTCAAATTCAGTTAGTATTGTCGCAACTTTAAATGAGTTAAGGTGTGATTTAGCTCTATCAAATTGTTGCAAGCTTGGCAGAAGAACACCAAAAAATTCAACTGGGGGGGTGTCAGACAAAAGCTAGTTTACGGTCCTCTGACGGCCGCGGTCCTTTTGGACCAACACTTTTCAATTATAAACTTCATTACAGCTTTAATATTATTATCATCTCTCTATTACACACCCACCACCAAGCTCGTGCAATTGACTGAAATGTGACAGCTGTATCCGCGGGTATACAACAAAAAACCATTGCAGTTTGTGGTAGACGCCCCTTCATTTATACATTGGTATAAGGAGCAGTCGTAGGCTCAGCTGTAGCTACCACAGCAGATGTAAACATGCGATATCTGATCTTGCTTTTCATAATCGTGAATCTATGACGCAACGTACTGACTATGACTCCTCAACATCATTTCCTGTATGTACTGAACAAGGAGTGGAGGACGGATTGGTGGCTCAAACGTTGAGCTGGGTCATGGGCATTAAACAGGGACTACAAAAACTGCACGCTCAATGCAGAACAAGAATAGGCAACACTCAATATTCGAGCTCGACATCTTTGATGTGTAGAGTGTTCAAGAAGATGAGAATCCTAGCTGGATTCAGATAAAGGAGCGGTTGCTGTATTGCTTTTGGTTCCGAAGAGAGTGTGCCATGGATCTGATGTGCGGATAATCTCCTGGACTAGAGGTTATCTGATCGGATATCTAGGGAGCAGTGAAGATGTTTTGGAAGACAAAGGAGGGGCATGTAGGAGCGCGAACCACATGTTCCTTTCTCCGGGTCCAATTGAATCGTAAAGGGTAGATATCCTCTGGAACTGTGAATATCTTTGAACGAACAGCAGCCGGAGCTTCTCTTCGAGTATAACGTGCCCTAGACGCTCGACCAACTATCTTTAGGAGTTTGAAAGGGTGAGTTTTTCCTAGATGGAACGAGTCGAATCGGTATCGAGTTCATTAACTCAATCCGGAAAAGGTCTTCTAACTGTGATGCCACGTGAACAAGGGACTGAGCTAATCTGGGTTGGGTCTGCCGATGATGAAGAAAGGTGTCTCGGAGGTACAGGAAGATATTCGGCAGTCCCGCGACAGATGGACGGGGGCTGGTTTTGGTTCGGAGAATGACTGCTCTCGGCGTAGCATGGAAGGGAGGATGAGCTTGGAGGTCGAAGTCATACATTACAGTGCCACTGATCGGGAGGTAAGTAAGGTAGTTTGAACTAGATTAATTGCGGCCAAGCCGACTTACTGTTATTGTATCGCAGAATGGCGACTAGAGGAGCGCGAATGAATGGTGAAAGTGCGCTCCACGTTCTTGCTCGAGGTCATCCTATATCGTATAGAATAAGACATCGGGTCAAAACATAATATCTCTGAGTGAGCGGCAGGCTGACTCCAACAACTCTATGCTGCATGGGTGAGTGAACGCAATGCTTCAATGTGGGCAACAGATTTCTGTGAAGCACGCTTGTCTGTCGGCATGCTGGCTTTCAGAGCGACACTATGCATTTCTGCAGACAAGTAATTTTGAAGTTGCATCTGGCTAAGATTTGGTGTTATGGATTTAGCAGCAGGATGTATAGATCCAGGGTGAGACAACGGACGATGGATACATGTTACTTACGTAGATGAGGCGGGCCTGATTTCGGTATTCTTTCGTTATGTAAGAAGCATTACAATACTCCGTACAGGCGAGTGAGTTAACTCGTTCGGGAGGGGCGGTCGGGATATGATCCTGCTGCGCACTCACGTATTTCAAGGTTAGCGATCTTTATTTAGCACGGCGATCGCGTTGGGTTCTGGAAACTCGCTGTTCGCCTTAAGCCCTGCGATGACGCAAGATTGCGGCACGGGACAGTTGCGAACCTGTCAGACACAAGCTATTTCATTGGTCCTCCGAGGGCCGCGGTCTTTTGCTCCAACAGAACATACATCCGCATGTAGAGCATCACCGCAGAGTCAGGCATCCTATGAGACCAGGTATCATTAAGCCGCTAACGAGAATTTGTCAGTCAATAATTATCATGCGATGTCAGCTTACTGTGTTCTGGCTTGGCATAGTAATATGCTGGTATATAATGCGGCGGGGTCACCTTTGCTACTTACTCCGTAGTACTGAGCCAAACGCCCAAAGCAATTCTATTGCTTGGCTACCGTAGAACCAACCAGGAAAACTGGGTGCCTTTACTAGTTGTCCTCCCGTGGTTCTCTTAGGTGGCCACAATTCAGGCAAGGTCCTTGTGAGGATGCCGAGGGTTCTTTTGAAGCATGGTAAGGTTCCTTGCCGCCTCCGGAAGGCAAACTCTCCAACCTTCGTATTCGCAATTCATGCAACTCAGTTCCAATCGGAAGAGTCAGCTGAATTCCCACTGGATGGAAACAAAATACTGACTCACCCAATCAGCGGTCATATTCGTTGCACGAGATCCAACAACACTAGGGGGTAGTATATTCCGAACATCTCATAACCAAGCATGTCTGCAATGGTATGGACGAATTGATTGATTCTAGCATAGTTGGAAGAAGAAGAAGTTGCCGACGAGCAACGAGAGCTAATCTAGGAGCGCCAAGTAAAGCTACCGACGTAACGCACGTGACAATGTCTCTAGACGAGACCAATCGAACTGACTACGGTCTATCGGTGAGAAGTGTAATGCCACTCTACTCGCACACCAATCTTGACCTCTCCAAATTCCATTTCCACTTTGAGACCTGAGCACACGTAAGTGTAAGCTGAGCGATGAACAAGCAGCCCTGAGCATCAACTGAAGTTCTATTTTGAGCTTCCTATAGCGGCCAGAGTCTGGGCCACTCTTAGCTCAAAGAGTCCAGTTTGCCTCTAGGCATCTCTCGGCACCTAGCCCACAAGGGCATGTCTTTGTTGAGAAGCGGATAATGGGGATAGCTTAGATGGAACCCAGTTTGGCATGTGCTCAACGATGATGTTGTGTTGGCCTCATTCGTCAATGAGCTCTTGCAATAACGCTGCTCCACGTTCATCCAACTCTAGGTATCTACAAAGAGCACAAAAGTCCAAACAAAAGTCACGGCCGAGCGTGTGTTCAGGCATGCACTTTTGGAGTAGATCCTTCCACTCCTTGTCTTGTTTTCCAAGGCCGATTTCCGCGCACGTGAATTCCCACCACACAGAAAAATAACCACTAGCCTCTCAATCAAGGATCCCAGTTAGATCACTGTTCTCGACCATAATGTTCACATCTGTCAAGTCCCCATGGGTAAAGGTGTATGGTGCTGCAGAAGGCATACGTCTTCGTAGCTGCTGACAAGCTTTGTCAGGCACACCCTCCAATGCGTTTATCACCTCCGCCCAAAGCTCATGATCCGAAGATAGCGGTCCGTGTGGAAGGCCATAACCATTGGGAAACAGAAAGGCTGAATACAATGGTTGTCCGTCCAAACTCTGCATCAGGGGCGCCTGCGGCTCTCGAAGCTCGAGCAACAGATCGGCAGTTTGTTTCGCGACACGCTCTCTCTCATCTCTTGACATTTCTGCCCACGCAGTGTTTAGTGGCTCACCAGCAATGCGTTTGCTAAGCATGAAATAAGTTCCATTGTCCTCCTCCCATTCCTCGGCAACGGCGGAAATGGGGATCGTGGTCTTTTGTTGGAGCAATCAGAGGTTTCTGGCATCGAAATTAGGTGGTTGATTGGATCGTTCCTTAAGCACCAGATTCGACCCCAAGGGCCAGATACCGCGATCACTGACTCCATAGAAGAGCTTTACGTGACTATTGTACCGACAAGAATCGTGGCGCGTGGGACTCCAGCTACACGCTGTACAAGGCATTCTACCATTTTCCACGTTAGCGCAGAGAAGCACAGACGCGGTGGTAACAGCTGATAAGGTCCAAGAAAAAGTTGGGACTGAGCCGTCAAGAATGGCCCTATAGGCGCCCGCAGAACTTCCCATGAAATCCGTTCTAGAAGTACACGCTTTGGTCCTTTTATCCTGTCTGGTGGGTCCTACAGCGCCGAAATTGAGATCTAAAATTTCCCAGAATTCTATGTCCCTCCTTTTCACCCTTATGCTGGAACATTTTGATGCCTTACCATCATGAATAAATGAATGAATAAGCGGCTGGGTATCTATACATCTGGCGGCTCTCGGAGGTTTGATATGCTGTCTGATTTGTTGCTGGAATAAGGCCCGAGGCTGAAACTCTGGCGAGATGCGTATCGCTTGCTTCGGCTGACTGAAGAGTTCTTGAAGAACCCAACCGACAGGCTAGGTGAGTTCGCTATCAATCGGGACGCAAAGGATTGCAACATTATGGAATTAGCGACGAAAGTCTTGAAGAAGGCGGCAAAGGCCGGCATGGACGAAACGATAATAGCAAGATAGTTTTCAATTGCTCTTGAGTCTTCGTAAGCGTGCGTACTTCTTCGCTAAAGGTAGTGGTGGAACGTAGACTTACATGAAGATGAACTGGTAAGCAACATCCCAAAGCAGGTCGGTAGATTTCCATAATCTCTGGCGAAACACTAGTGTTATTACCGAGGCTATGACACCACTATCACTCCGTAAGTAAGATTCCACATGCTCAGGGTTGACTCACATCGAGGCAGTTGCAAAGACGCTAACGACACCTATCTTTTTTCTCCGAGAAAGGTTCAGGCGCAAGACCATTGGAATAGGTAAAATGAGAATGTAAAGGTCGAGAACCACCACCAGGACTGCTTGCGCAAGAAACCATGTGAGTGTATCCTTACATGCTTGGGAATTGAGCAAACTCCAATCTGCGGATTTTGGTGTACAAAAGACGTAGGTGAGAAATGGGCAAGGAGCGTAAAGACAGAAGTCGCCAATCATGCCAGCATAGATCAGCCATCTGTATGTTCTGTTGATGGTGAATATGCGGAGGTATAGCAACAGTATGCCCATCTTCGCGAATAAGGTGGTCACGGTGCTGAGTGAATATCTAATACTAGCTTTCTGGACTCCTGCATATTAGTTCATTTGCGCATTCATTGGTCAGGCCCTTCCTCGTACCTTTAGATATGCAGCGTTGATCCAGCTGAGTGGAATATCCCATATATGCCGGGCATATTTTGCTGCTTGAAAGGTGTTGGGTAAGGCTACTTTGTGGTGGCATGGAAGCTGGTTGAACTTACCATCGATATTTAGACCTGCCGTAGTAAATGTGAAGATCATAGCTAGTACACAAAAAACTTGCAGAGGTAAGTTTTGTCAAGACACATATATATACTAGAAACTCACCATCGTCCCAACCTACCCTGCGAACAGTATGTAAGTTTGACCATAGGCGTGTAACCACAAAGATCGTTGTAATCGGTATCAGAACCGCGTTTAGGACGATAATGGCCTGTGTATTGCTAGGAGGATCGACAAAGTTGGGCACAATTCCAGGCGGAGGTACACCAGCGGGCATTTGGTCAGGAGGAATGGACGGATCCATATCTGGTACAGCGCTGAGAGGGACTCCGAATGACCTTTGTCCACAGCAAGCCTGTTAGAGAAAGCTAATGGAGAGATCATTGCTAAAGAATTCTACAAAATAATGTTATAGCAGGCTGCCAGGACACGAATCCACCAAGGCCGAAAATTACATACTTACCAGGATGCGTATGGACTGGTATTTACATTGCGTGGTCACATACAAGTTCTACTAGTCAGTTGTAATCCTTGGTACTGGTCTTGGTACCCCTCTCTACACCAAGTTTGCATAAGGAGTCGTACTACGTATATAATCTTGCTAAGAGCCTTAAAAGTTTTAGTTCTTAGATTTTATGTTCAATTTCTTTCAGTAAAATTACTATAATAAAATAAACCTCTACATGAGAAGTAGAACATTCAGCCCACGAGTTTACTCAGTGAATGGTGGTGGTACAATTTAACAATTTATACTGAGAACCAGCGAATGTTCTTCATGCCTGTATTTGACGCTCCGCGTTCAAGCTCTTCTGCGAAGACCATTTTTTAGTGAATGCGGTTAGACTGCCTACTAGGTCGGAGCTAAAGGAGTCTGAATTCAGTTTGAGACAAATGGGCTTCGGGCCTCTATGACCTGCTATCCACGACTCTAGCAAGAACTGGCCCAATTTATCATTGGCTAACTCGCCGTTATTAATTTGCCCTTGGGATATTAAGGGTGATGAACTGGACTTGTCATTGGTGGGGATCATAAGGTTATGTCTACTGTGCGGTTGCCAGCGAAATAATGGACCGGTCATATTTACGCCAGATTGATGGATAGCTCATTGTTGCGTCCACCGCACGACCATGTTCTTTGGATCTCGGATCTTGACCGAGAACATCATGCTGTACTCATGTAGCTTTGCCGCAAACCGTTGCTGCGCAGCTGCGAATGTTTCATTTGGCTGGAGCACCATCTCAACGAAGTGGTCACGGAAGAGGTGCGCCAGCACAGCCGTTACTTTGACCTGCGCAAGCTTTTTGCCGGGGCAGACACGGGGCCCGTCGGACCATGGAAAGTAAAAACCGCGAGGTGGGACGAGAAGACTTTCGGGGGGCAGAGCAGAGACAGCTGGGCAGCCAAGGCTCTTAGGATGGTTGCCCTCAGCATCTGTAGTGATCCAACGTGAGGGTCGGAAGGACGTGGCATTAGCGCCCCAGTATGCGGGATGGGTGTGGAGAGCCATCAGGTTGGAAAGGACGAGGGTCCGCCGTGGATGGTAAAGGTTTTGCCGGCGGCAGTTATAGTCTGATCACGATCAGCGGTGTACTTGGGAACTGCGGCGATAACAGGAACGAGGCGCAGGATTTCGAGCTGTCAAAGGGCCGTGATCAGATCCTGTGAAGCTATTGGTACGAAGCAGCTTACCATGATTGCTTTGCAGCGTTTGAAGCGCGGAAAGCGGGCCTCGTAATCCCAGTTGTCGGTGTCCGGGGTCTCTAGAGTTATTGCTTGAATTTCTTCGGCGATCCACCTTTGCCATTCAGGGTAGGTTGCTAAGTAGAGAATTGAGTAAGTCAGTGTCTGCGTAACCGTGTCATGACCAGCGGCCATGAACATGAAAACATTGCTGAATATTTCGGCTTCGCTAAGACTCATTCTAGACGGCGTCACGGGAAGCGAGTGGCCCTTTTGAGGAAAATTTGTGGTTTGTCTGGAGTCCCAAGAGTCCCGGACGAGGTCGCCGACAAGATTACGCCCACCCATCGAGCCTTCCATATAAAGAGCTTTCTCCTTTTCCATCAAAGCTTGGATATATGCTTCAATTGTGCGTATCGCCTGGCCAACTTTGGCCCAGGCCAGAGGGATAAAGGGCATTTCCAATATCTGTCGCGGTACGCCTGCCATGATCAAGAAGTTACCAAGTAGCAACGAGAACGCATCACGAAAATCTATGTCCTTAGTGGAGGAGATGTCAATGCCTCGGCGGAACGGATAAGCGATATCAAATGCCGCGAATGTTAGTACGTGAGTTGTCAGGACCATGGCATGTTCGGCGGTGGAGTTCAGAGCCTGGTGCTTATTCAAGAGCCAATAGTCTTGCAACTGCGAAGCCTGACGTAGAGCCTCTCTCCATACAGAATCCATTCGCCTCTCGCTGAAGGAAAAGGCTCTGCTGACTTTGCGGTGGTCGTCACCCTTGATTTAATGCTTCACTCCTCTCCCAAGCGGAACTCGAACTTGTGGGGCCTCTTGCAGGAAGCGGGTTTTGTGTCCCAAAGTGGCTAGTGCACTCTGAATGCGGATTATAAGGGCTCATAACTGTTGGACCAAAAGGACCGCGGCCCTCAGAGGACCGTTTACTAGCTTTTGTTTGACATCCTATTTGTCGAGCCTGCCTTTTATTCAGTCAAAAGAAGAAAGCTGATTGTGCAAGCTACGATAAAAGTAATATATAAGAGACAATAAAGACCTTCATCCTGAGTTAAAGCGAAATTGCTGGTACAACTGCAAAGAATGAAGCCAGAACAAAGTCAGATATAAGAATGAAATCAGGTCAGGGTAAGGCTGTGTAAAACTCAAAAATACAGTTTGCGCTTATATTGCTACGTGTGTCACCAGCATTTTGTTACAGAATTAATATGCGTTTTGCATCAACCCTGTATTTATTTTTAGTATCTGCATTTCACGTTATTTCACTTAATATTGCAATAGCTCGAAACTAGAACAAGTCAATAGTCCATAAATTGCTAAAACGTAAGCTGAGGAATCTATCTACAGTGCGGCCGACGCGCTGGTCTATATACTTTTCCATTGAACACCAGGGGTGCTACTGGCTGGCCTGCACGGAAGATCCTTCGGAGTATCCGCAGGGCCAGAAGCGATAGCTGCCCTCCCAAGGAGATTGTACGTCCCCAAAGAGGCTATACTAATCTGTCGTTCCATGGTACCTGCACAGGGAGTGACGTGCCGTACGAATGCCTCTATCGGCGGCATAGTACAGTACCCGGTCAAAAGTCTCCGTTGATTTCGCGTTTTTCGCGTTTTTTCGCGTTTTGCACCCACAACCCACCCATTCTATCAACGAATTATGCCCCCACGAAGGCCACTACGCGAAATCAGTGGTAATAGGCCTCTTCATCATGAGTTAACGCCTATTGAGCGCGCAGAGATAGTAGGCGCAGCCAAATGTGGAGTGAGATTCGCTGAAATTGGTCGCATACTCAATTTCGCGCCCTCAACCGTCCAATATACCTACGAACTATCTGAACAACGCAACCTCCACAAATCGATCTCGCGTGCGGGCAGACCCTCTATAACGTCCGAAAGAGATAAAAGAGCCATTGTACGATATGCTCGTTCCTATCCCAAATCAACTTATATACAAATGCGTCAAGATCTATAGATTCAACTCTCTGATAGTACTATTAAGTGAATTCTACTGCCTTATCATCTCTGTAAATAGTAATACAAAAAAAGACCAGAATTAATACTAGAAGTAGTTAATCTTTAATATTAATAAATATTAAATCATAAAGACTAAAGCGTTAAAGAATAAGCTATAATAATATTCTCAGATAAATCAAGCGTTGAATAAGGCAAAAAAGATTAATATAAATAAGCCTGGCATATCCCTTGTGATCCTGATTAATCCCTGTTAGTGGCCTCCTTCCTTGCTGAGTTTAGCGTTAAGAGATACCCGTGTTTAGCGGTAAGGTTATTTCTATAGCCTTGGCATTAGGAACGTCAAAATTATGGAAGAGTGCTGCAGCCTTGGCGTTAAGAACATCAAAATTCATTAAGACCTGGCTGAAGCCTTAGCGTTAAGAACACTAAAAGTGAATTATAAGAGTAAAACTTAAATTAGCTGCATTAGGCTAATTATTAGGATTATAAATCTAAACATAGTATTATTTAATAGCCCTTAGAAAGCCTTACATTAATAGGTATTTTTTAGTTTAATAAACCTATTTTTAAGAAGCAGGAATAAAAGAAGGTAAAAAAGTAATAGTTTTATAAAATAACTTTGAAAGCCCTATCTATTTAATCAACTCTTTTACCTTAAATTCGCTTCTTTTACTCAGAAATCTTTAAAACCTATTAAAAACTCTTTAAAATCACTTAAAATAGCGATTTCTCCACGAATTTCAGCTTAATTAGCGCTAGAATTAAGTGCTAGCGCCTTAATTATCTTATATAAGCGCACTATTAGTAAGCTATCTATTAAAAGCGCTAAAAACCAGTCAAATTCTATTAAAAACCACTTAAATTCTGTTAGGGCTTAATTAGTTAAGACAAGTCTTAATTAGAGGCTAGGTCTAAGGAGGTTAGTTAAGTAAAACAGAAAGTATAATAAAGAATACTAAGATGTCTTTAACTTAGGTATAAGCTAATAATATAAGTTGATTACAAAGACTATAAAACTATCTAGGAAATAAGCGTGCTTATATAGACTAAAAGATTTATATTTAGAGTTAATTATTTTAATCATCTCTAATTATTACTTATAAGTACTTATTCTGATTACCTCTGATTATTACTTATAAGTGCTTATTCTGATCACCTCTAATTATTATGTTATCTAGGTCTAACTATATATATAATTTAGAGTCTAGTTCTGTCTAAGTCTATTATAGTTCTTTTATAAAGTATTAGGTAGCTTTATAGTGCTTGTCTATGCTTAATATATTTATATATTATAATATTATCTTCTTCTCTTATTAGCTTAGTCTTATAAGCTAAGAATATATCTTTTAGTTTTTTAAGATTTTGTAATTTCTTTTTTTATAATATCTTTACTTATTTATTGCCTTTTAGGGTTATTATATTAATATATTATGTTTAATATATAATTATAATAAGAAATCATGTTTCTT